GATCATTTCTGTATATATATATACTGTCAACTAACCCAAATTTATTTTGCTTGCAATTCTAGTTACTTTATCCATTATTATCATTTAGATTAACAAACATTATTGTATGATATGGACGTATATGATAGTCATTCATTCGTTTCAATGTCCAATAAGTAGACTAGGCATAACCTTATGGTACCAAATTAAAATGTATGTAAGAAAAATCAAAATTGGATGATTTGATTGCAATCCAATTGAAGATGAGTGACCAAGATATATCTTCACTCAAAGTTGGATGGCCTGCAGTACATTTAACTCTTTTTATAAGTGAAAACGAAATGATGTCTTCCAATTAATTCCCCCAATTTAATTTATGTCGCTTTTTAATGTATGTTCGTTATGGTTTTTGATAAAAATCAATTTTTTAGTAAATTTTATAAAAACGGATGAAATATAGGGTTGAAAATTTTTGAATTACATGAGATATATGATTAAAATTAATTAATTATTTTGATTTAATTTTAATTCAAAATTTAAGCGGGATCAAACAGTGGCTACATAAAGGGTGGTTATATTCACACAATTTTTTTTTTTATAAATATAACACAATTTAATTATATTAAAAATCATTAACTTTTATTCATATTTACACTTATATTCTCTCAACTTTTTTTCTTTTTCACATTCTTATTTTTAACATTTTATTGATTAGAAAGTCTTGTCCTTAATCATGATTTTTGTCCAAAAATATTATTAGCGTGCTTTAAAATGAAGGTCAAATATTTTGATTACTTGTAAATATAATGGACAAATAAAAATGTTTACTCTGTATTAAAGAAATTTTTTTGAAAGAATGATTGTGTATGTGTTACTTGTGCGAGCAAACCTATTGTTACATGTAGAAGAACCTCCCCCAGCTCCCAGGGCACATCTCCAAGTGGTAAAAGAGGAAGGTGGAAAAATTTCAATTTTGCTTGAAGCTGTCGTGTCAAGAGTTCGAATCCTGAAATATGGATTTGACCTTTGAGTAAGTGCAAGTGTACAAGCAGCCTTTCATCATGTATCCTTGGAGGCATAACCTGCAATTTACCTCATTCACCAAGATTTAGGGCATGGCAGGTGAGAGCCGTCAAGGATGCGGTTCATCTTTTTTTTTTACAAGTAGAAGATCCGTTTATGTTTTGGTAGTTAAATTATCTTTAATTGGACCACATAATCTATTCTTTATAAATGTTTAATGCCAAATCTGTCGATGATTATTATTATTATTAATTTTTTTTGGCATCATGGGGCAGTGCTATGATTACTGTTCTGATGAATCCGTTACCCTTTCTGTCATGAAAGATGATTTCCGTTACCCCCCACGTGCATGTGCCCTTATTATTATAAATATATATCCATACCCCTCCACTTTATAACCGTTATGAATTCAGACGCGTTTGCATTAAAATTTAGATTTTTAATTTAAATCATAGTCGATAATTAGTTTTAGTTATATGTTTTATGAGATTCACAAATTTTTAATCATATATTTCGTCAACTTTTAATTAAAAACTATTGAAAAACTTATTTTTATCTCCGCTGTATTTTTTTTTCAAAAGTTTTGATCCCTTTGTTTTCGAGGTCCTTTTTTAAAAATAAAAATTTTGATATTAGATCTTCAACCATTATTTTAAGAATGAAACTCATTTGCCAGAACAGGTTTAACACTCCCTTGACAGACATTCAAATGTGTGTGGAACCTGTGTGAATAAAAAATTCCAAAAAAGTGCCCCCTCCCCTGGTAGCATAGCATGATTCTTATTCTAATTGTGCAAATTGACTCATTTATAGACTTTTTATGGGCTTTTTGGTCATTTTTGCGAGTTGGCATTTCTTCATCATTGTGTTCGAAAGTTATAATTATTTTCAATTTTCAAGGTTTTATTGAGATTTTTGCTTTATTTGTAGTGTGCACGCATGAGTTTATTTCATCGAAACCTAGGTTGATTTTGTCAGAATTCACAGTAATATTTTCCATGTACGTTTGAGGCCGCTTCTCGGCCTTTGATTCCCTCGTTAGTCGAGACTATTAACTATTTTTAGTCAATTGATAGGATTCTATATAGATCATTGATTAGAAGAGCTTCGACAATCAAGGCACATTTTTTGTTTTTCACACCTTGACGGTCAGGAGTAAATATTCGTCCCATCGTAGTTGGACGTGTGATGAGATCCTTTTATTATTAAACTTAACGTTCAAGTGAAAAATAATTATTCTGGCACGTAACAATCATCCTCAACTTAAAGCTCCAATACTTGATTCGTGTTATACTATTATTAGCCAAATGATGCCATTATCATCATTTTATTCAAAGTAAATAACCAAATATGCACGTGCATTAAAAGAAACAAATTTACACGAAATTCATCATTTCAATAAGCACCTCGTTGAAAATGATGTCTTCATGTTTTTTTCTAGTTCAGCTCAGAGAAATAATCCACTTATTCAGCATCAATGTTTAATGTTTTATTTGAAAATGATAACAAAATGTTGATATAAAATACGTACACGAGTGACGAATCTGCTGTGAATTGAAGTTTAGTGATCTAATTGCAGTCGGTGTAAAAGTTTGGTGATAGTAAGTACATTTATTCCAAGTCCACGTTAATTGCTGCATAGCAAACATTAGTTTTAACGGTCACGTCGGCAAATTCAATTACGTTGCTTAACATTACAGTAACATAGTAGTTTTATTGATGTTAAATTGATGTCTAGTGACTCAATCGCTACCAATTGAAATTCAATGGCCTAATTGTAGTTGTGATCAAAGTTCGGTGATCGCCATTAATTTAACTCGAAATAGAGACTAAAAGTGTATTTTTTTGGTTCCATTATCTCTACGCCTTTATCCACAGTACTAACTTTTCGGGTCATCATAAATGTTAAGATTGTTTGATCAGTCGTAAATAGAAAGTATAATCCCACCTAGATCATTTGATTGGTTAATAATAAAATACCCATTATATCTCGATGAAAATTTATTGATCATGAATCCCACAACCAGTGTTCTAAAATGCGTAATGCGTTGCGATGTGTTGAGGTCGAGAATCAAGAATCACAAGTTTAAGCGTGTCAATGCGGAGA